GAGAAGGCGGCGGCGGAGACAGCAGACACAGCCCCAGCCTCCAGGGTTAGGTGAGTGTCTGTTTCTCTCTACACTGAGTCTGCAGGTTTGGTCTGTTTCTACATTCGGGGGACGAAAGGGGGAGGGAGAGTGGATAGGCAGGGAAACTGCCTCTTCCAGCTGCGTTGCTGTGCAGAGCCTGATTCGATCAAGAAAGTTTCGAGAAGGCGGCGGCGGAGACAGCAGACACAGCCCCAGCCTCCAGGGTTAGGTGAGTGTCTGTTTCTCTCTACACTGAGTCTGCAGGTTTGGTCTGTTTCTACATTCGGGGGACGAAAGGGGGAGGGAGAGTGGATAGGCAGGGAAACTGCCTCTTCCAGCTGCGTTGCTGTGCAGAGCCTGATTCGATCAAGAAAGTTTCAGAAAAGCCACCTTTCAGCTCTTATTTACACTGCGATCTGTGAAACTGGAAAAGCCTTTCCGGGTAAAGGGTAGAAGCTCTAACGCTGGAAACGCTGAAAACTGGACTGAATAATAACAACTGCACTTACAATAACAATCACAACAGTATGCTGAGCCTAAGGCCATAGGTTAGGTGGATCTAAGTGAGGCTATTTGAGCTCACCTTTAAATTTGATTTACGAATTTAAGTCAGTTGAAGAACAAAAAAATCTCTTCTCAGACATCTAGGTGTCAAGAAAAAATGCACTACTAGCTGTCTTGGAAATTTTGTTTTGTTTTAAACTAGTGTGACATATGTACACTTTATATTTGGTAATGTAATTTAGTTATTTTACATGCAAAGTTATTCATATTTCTCAGGTTGTGCATGACATCGTCTGAGTTAAAATAATATTTTGTTAGCTAAATCAGTTTTGTATTCACTCTTTGCCATTATAACTAGTGAAATTTTGGGAGAATTTAAAAAAATTATTGAGGGACAGATAATCCACTGCAGTATGTCTGAGCTATTGTGCTTTCTGAAAAAGCATACACATCTGTATAGTTGAAATCAGATTACATTTTGCCAGCCATATTATTGGAAAAAAGTTAGTGTTATATTATTAGTTTCTATATGTGTTTGGAATATGTGATTCTGCTCAGTGCTCCTTCATAATGCCATTGTGATATGTGTTTATAGAATATTTTATTGAAGTAGGAACCTCTTTCAGAATACACAGGTACCACATATGATTATTTCTACTATCCATATATAATTATTTGTACTGTCCTACAACTCACCCAGGGAACATCTACACAGCAAAGTTATTTTGGAATAGCTGATGTTATTCTGAAATAACATAGTCCACGTCTACATAGCAAGTCACTATTTCAATATAATGTCAAAATAATGTCGAACTGGAGGACTTCTTACTCCAACTCCTGTAACCCTAATTTTACAAGGAGTAAGGGAAGTCGGAGGAAGAGTGCTCTTTTTCGGATTTCCCACTGTGTAGACAGCACCAAAAGCCAAAATAAGCTATTTCAACTTAAGATACGCAATTGACGTAACTCAAGTTGCGTAGCTTATTTCGGCTTTAGCCCTGCTGTGTAGACATGGCCCCCAGTGACTTCAGTAGGAGTTCTGAGGGCTTAGTAGGTGTTCAGCCCCTCTCTAGATTTGAACTCTTTGTATGTGTTTGTGTGCGTGAATTTTAAAGACTAATGCTTCTTCTGCTTCTAAGCTCTTTGGTACAGAGAGACTTTATATTTTGTCTTGTACAAAGCTGAACATTCTGCCTATGCTCATAGCTAAGTTTTCAAAAGTGGTCTCAAATATTATGTACCTCAGATTTTGGATATGTAAACTGAGTTACCAAAAATTAGCAGCCATTTTTTTTAAATGTTGGCTTTAATGCATAATGTGATCACTAAGGAAAGTCTCAGAATTGTGAGTAGGAACATAAGAGAATTCTTACAAGAGCTATTTACTGGAATGGGGCCTTACTGACTTTGGTCATTGCTATAAACTGTGTTTCCAAAAGCAGATCTCATTTAATAGACTTCAACATTTAAAAAAAACAAAAAATAAAACAAAAAACTAATTTTGATTCCTTGCAAAGTACAGTGACAGAAAAATAAATCCTACATAATCCCACTGAATTCTCTATATTTGTCTGGCCTGTCCAGATTCAAGAATTCTGACTAATTATTGATAGAAATGTAGCCGTGTTAGTCTGGTGTAGCTGAAACAAAAAACAGGACTATGTAGCACTTCAAAGACTAACAAGATGTTTTATTAGGTGATGAGCTTGCGTGGGCCAGACCCACTTCCTCAGATCAAAACTTTTCATCTGAGGAAGTGGGTCTTTTTGTTCTGACTAATTATTATTACTGACAATTTAAAGTTTGACCTGCTGTATTCTGATAATCTTGATACTGCAGTGTGACTAGTGAAAGCAAATGACAACATAGAGAGTGTACTGTTAATCTAATGATTAGAGGTGTTAAATCCTGGTTGCCATTCTTCCTCTTGCCACTACTGACCTGGGCAAGTTAATTCACGTTTTTGTTTTTTATTTTCTCTTTAGTCAATATGTGGAAATAACAATTCTTGCTCTTGCCCACATCCAAGAGGTGCTGTGTGGATTGATACTTCTGAAGAGATTTAAGATCCTAGTATGAAAGATCCTATAGAATTGCAAAGTAGCATTACAATTGTTATCGGTCTACTTACGGATCAGATCAGCTATGCTTCTTTGCTCATGCATGTCACACATCCCTGGTCATTCTTTGGCCCTCTCTTGGCGTATGAACGACAAGACCCTACCACAGATTTGAGATGGCAGTAGCAGCCAATGAATGGCTGTAGTGTTTTTCTATGACATAGGTAGCTGATTTCTCATTTTAGTCATATTTATTATATATTTTTCTATGTAGTTTCTTATACTGCACATATCACCACAGTTTCAGAATACCTTCTCCCTCCCTTCTTTGTCTCCACTGAATTCTCAGCACATAGCCCAATCATTTGGGCAACATCCTGGTACCAGTATTTAATCCTGAATCCAAACAAAAATCAACATGATAAGAATTGCTGATGGCATACATCATTCTTAAAATGTTGTCAGTATAAATGGCATTTTGCAGTGCTGTTTAGGATTTATTCATCATTTCATAACTGGAGAGATAAGGTCTGTTTTTATAAAGTGGAGTTCTGACTTTGGAGAAAGTGAGCTTCATGTTCAATTCTTGTTTGTCTGTTTCTCATTTCCTACTTTCATATATTTAGCCTTTAGAAGTACTGATGTGTGGGTTTTATTTGCATAACAGACTGTCATAAAAAAAAACCCTGATAGTCATGCTTCATAGTACATTGTGTATTTTAGGTACTAAACAACCCCCTTAAAAGGCCCCATCTTTCTCCCACTGAAGTCCATTGCTGTAGAATTGGTCGCTAATATTGTACATTGAAAGTCTCAGTAGGGCCTCAAATAGAATAGAAGTAATGTGACTGTATCTCTGAATATGAATGAAGTTGATGGAGGAAACTGGTATTTGCTTGGCAATGCAAAATGTCACATACTTATTTCTGTGTTTTTACACAGATCTGGTAGTTAACAGCGAATGCAAACGTATTTTAACAGATTATACATGGAGAATTTTATATTCCAAATATATCTGCAAACCACATTCTAGAGCAAATTAGAGCAAACTGAACATGATTTGTATACTTTTAACTCTCAGATAAACCAAGAATGCATTTTATTCAAACTTTGTAGTCTGCATATTTAATTACTTAATATTTTCTTTATAAACCTTTTTTTGCGTTCAGGGACAGTTCTTGCATTCCAGTTGCTAATATAGGATCCAATTTTGTAAGAAGTGGAATGCCTTCTGGGAGGTCTGAGTGCTCTCAAATCCCAAGTCAAATAAAAGTTGAAGATATTCAGTACTTAGCATGGTCTGACTTGTAGAATCAATTCCTGCAGTTCTTTTCAAGTAAAACTGCATTAACTTTAGCAGGCTGGCTTCTTTCAACCTCTAGAGTCTAGCTTCCCTTCATTGGTACCTGCCTCATGAAATTCTCCTGGGAAAGGGTTCCTCAACATATAAGGGATCCACTCAGGAGCTTATCCAGCCTCAGCATGTGTTAATTCCTTAGTAAACCCTTCATAGAATTTGATAGAGGTAGAGAGCAGGTTTATATTTTGTGCCCTTGTTCTTCTATCCCATCCCCATTCAATCATGGATCCTTAGCAGTACAGAGGGACCACCTGGGTCAGAAGAGACTGTTGCTCTGGAGGTGATGATCTTGCCTTTCATGTAAGTTAAGAGATCTTCACACAACTTCCCCTCCAAATGTTCCTTGGCAAGATGATTAGGGTGTTTTAAATTTGCATGGATGTCAGTTTGTTTAACCATATGTTGCACAGACTTCAGTTAAAGTAGCTACCTTATATTTTGAAGGTAATGAGACACATTCATAAGACTGTTGAAGTAAATGGAGTTTCAGGATAAATGAACTTGACACGGAGTCCAATCTTGTTCTGAGGCTGCAACAGATATACACTCGTTAAAACTTTTGACTATCTTGCATCAATTTAAATACGGTTGAATTCTTACTACTTATTCTTTGTCTGATCCAAAACATTTAACATCTTTAAGAGAAAGCAAAACATATTAGAAAAGAATGGAACAATCATCTTAAAGATATAGGACCAATTTCTGTTTTGGAATAAGCAGGTTTAACTCTATTGATTTCCACTAACTACTCTTAACATCTGGTGACCTCTTTGACTTAAAACCAGTCTTTTTGGTGTAATAAACAAAGTCAATTTGTGTATTTTCTATTGGTCTGTCATAAAAACTTTATTCTTGTAGTACAGTATTTTTAGAAACCTTGGAATATTGGATCTCAACATTTCATATGTCGAAAGCCTCCTTAGAAAAAAGAACAGTCCAGTCATATGAAGCTGTAGTATTTGTAAAGCAGTTAACTGTTTAAATAGTACTGTACATCTAAATCATTAATCCTTGAACCTGCCAAACCTATTATAACTGTTGGCTCTCAGCACCCTTGACAGTCAGGCAACTTATTTAGATGGCTAAATATACAACTAGACGCCCACATTAAAAATCATGTTAAAAGATTTTTATGATGGGCCTATAGCAAGTATATGAATATTCTTATTCATGGACTACACCGTAGTGACTCTGTTCAAGCCAGTGAGGTTGCTGTATGGTTGACCTTCATAAGAACAACCATTTTTGTTCAGACCGAAGATCCATCTAGCCCAATATCCTGTCTTCCCACAGTGGCCAATGCCA